TGAGCCTACTGACATGGATATTTTATAGAACAGAGGTGCTAACTCGCATAGGAACAGTCATTGCCATGGGTCTAGAGGTGTTTTGCATATATTCTTAATGTGATTATACAGATATTTATAACCAAAAGTTTGCCTAGTGCATACTAAGTTATTTCCCCAGTTGATTGATAATTTCATACACGTATATATAACATGCAAGTTGAACACATCAGAATGCAAAATAAAATATACCAAGTGAATTGTATTCTTCTATGCAAAGAATGCATTAAAGCTTGAGATTTGTTTTTGATAGAATTATTAATGTTAATATTTTCAAAAGGTGTTGGCTAATCATCTAGGGCTACACCATGTATACTGCTACAATACCACCAGATAGCTATATATACATGAAAGAAAATTAATTATGGTATGAGCAAAGATTTATGAAGCAAGAATCTTTCACTTTCAAAAGTATCTAACAGATCTCTTTTTAAAATAGTGTTCATACACATTACCTTGCCACTTCTTAGAAGGAGGAATAAAATAGTCACACATGCTGGAAAGCAGATGAGAAGATTGTTCACAGATCTTTTTTGCCATTAAATGTCCTGATAATTGGAATTTTTCTCTGAAATGGGATTGAATGTTATCTAGAGAGCAGACATTTTAATAATTGTGCCCAGTACTGTTAAATGTACAGCCTTATTTTAAGCAATGCTGAGCATGCTGCAGTTTCTGTAGTCTTCAATGGTAGCTGCAGGTAACCGGGATAATTGAGGATGGGGGAACAGGGTTTTTTTTTCACTTCATATGAAAATTGTAAGACTGTTACAAATGGTTGAAACTCATGAACAGCAGACAGATGAGTTATTCTAGTTGGTAGATAGTAGGAAAAGCTTTGTGCAATTTTTCCTGCAGCTTTAGAAGATAGGACTTGCTGACTGAACATTACTAGTGTTACTGATCTTGCATTGAGAATCAGTAAATCCCAACTCTAGTGCCAAAATGTCACCACAATCTTTTTCCAATTTTGCTTCTAAGGAAAAAACCCAAATTCCTCTTTGTCCTAACGGCATCAGTTGAATTATTTCAGATTTATGTTGGTATAACTAGGAGCAAAATTTTTTCCCAAACTCTCAATAAAGGGTTGGCGCAATATTGCATCTAAATTTTTCTGTCCAGGTGCAGAATAAATGTTATGTGCACCAAGGCATGTGTGGATGTCCACAATCAGAAACACATGCTGCCAGTTGTGAATATCCCTGGGCGCTCTGATAAGCAGCTGGGTGGCCCCCCAAGTGCATAGCTTACAGTGAACACTGGGGCAGGAGGGGTGTTTCATACACATGAATATATATTTTATGCAAAGATATTTCTTGTATGTTCTGATCATCAACATTTTTGTACCTGGAAGTTCATTCATTCAGGCATCTTTCTTTGGGCATAAATACCCAATTCTGTCTCTAGGAATAAAAAGCACACTGAGATGAGTGGGAGTTTTTCCCCTGACTTAAGTCATCTCTAGATCAGGCCATAACTGATATTACCATGTTATACTGTAAAATTTCTCTGTCTTTGCTTTCCTGTTTCTAGTCACTTTGGCAAGGTCCACAAAAGGTATTTAATTTCCTAACTTCCACAGAAAGCAATGGAAGTTGGGGCCTAAACACTTGTGAATCTGGGCTTTTCTGCGCACCTGCTACTGATTTTGACTAGATATAGTGTTTTGAGCACAAGGGACTGATAGGGGCATTTGCTCAAGGATTTTTTTAAATTAAATAAGCCACTCTGCCATGTATTTTGTTTATGCCCTCTTTGAGATTTAGAATTGTTTGGGTACTTTCCCTTAATTATCAATCTTTAGCAGGGTTTACTTTTTTTCTTACATTATCTACAGATAAAAATCATTTATCTGGGGCTGTATTTTTATATATTTATCATCTAGGGATGTCAAAGTGGGAGGCAGTGACAGTTTCCCTTTCACCACGAGAGAGTGTTAAAGAAGCAACACTTCACAGAATCTGGGTTTCTAGAGAAAAAAATATTTCAGCATTCTGGAATTTGTTTTTACTTTCTGTATAAATAAAACTCTCCACAAGGCATGTATGTTCAACAATGGAAGAGCAGACCTTTATTTTTCGTGTTAGAAATATCCTTGCTCATGTTGTCCTATGAGTGTTCCGATAAACTTTTGAGCATGTTGCATCATGATGGAGATCCTGCCATGTACTGTAATTTATTGTATATTCTAATACACCATATTTAGCTATCTAAAAACTGTAAGAAGATTGAAAGCTCATTCTGTTAATACTTATTCAAAAACATTATTGTAGCTGTATAGACAAACTTACAGTTCATAACTGCTAATGCAGAAACTGACATGGATAAGTTTCCTAGCGTCCTCTTGGTCTTAAAATGTTCTATGTACTGTGGTTCAGACTACTAAATTTTGTTAATAATGACATTTATATAAAAATCTCTGTGGCTGCATGAATATTTACACTACATCTTTTCTTACTTTCAGATGCAATTCCAGAACCCGGGAGGATGGCTGGCACTAGCATTGAAGATCCATTTGTTTTACAGGGTGTAAACAGATGACAGTTCAGTTTTTATATGTCCATTTCTCATTTAAACAGTCAAGATTGGATCCTGGAAACCCTTTTTCACGTGAATAGTTCTTGTTGTCCCTTTGACTTTGGTGGGACTGTTTGAATGAGTAAAGGCTACTCATAAATAAGACTTTGTAGAAAAAAACCCATAATTTATTGCTGGAAAAGCAACATTAGAATGCTCTGGACCTGTTTCTATGCAAAAAGGATCCCAACATGTTTTTATTTACAAAAATAAGAATTGTCAGGAATATTTATTCTATTCCAGTACTCACTAACTCTGTCTTTGGTCTCTGTACTTGACATTACTTTTTCTGTACTTGTGAAATCTCTATTTTTGAATATAGGAATAAAAGCTAACTTTGTTTTGTTTTATTTTGCATTTGACTTGCAATGGTGTAAAACTTAATTTTTAAGCATTATTTGGTAGTGGCAAGCTCACTACTTCCTACAGATGATGAACGGAAAATTAACAATGAAAACAACTAAATGCCTGTGGGTATGTCTATACTACAGCATTATTTCAAAATATCTTATTTTGAAATAGTTAATTTGAAATAAGATATTTCGAAATAACGCATCTGCACACAAAATGCATTTCGAAATAGCGTTTTGCTATTTCGAAATAGTGTGTCCACACTGATTGAATGCTGAATTGCATTTAAGACCAGCTGAAACCAGTTCCAGCAGGGCATCAGGTCAGTAGTTACTTTGTATGGCTGCTATCTGAGGCTTGTGCTTAAAGGGACCCCTCTGGACAACCAGTTCTCAGCTTTCTCTGCTTGCTTGCCTACCTCGCTGAGGGACAGCAAAGCATTTTTGTCTCTGCCTGCTTTGGTTGCCCTGACTCGGGACGCCACAGCACTCAGCACCATGGAGCCAGAGCTGCCCCTGGGCACTGATGTTCATTTTGGATGTCTTGCTGCAAGTCTGGCAGCAATTGCCCGATTCTGCCTCGCAGCATCTGCTGCAGCTCGACCCCCCAGGCCCTGTTCCGGACCCTTCTGGGGGTCGAGGAGGAGCAGCAGCAGCACCTGGACGCCAGCATGCCCCACCGCATCTGGACACCAGCAGTGACTGGTGGGACCACATTGTCCTGGAGCGCTGGGGAGACCAACAATTGACCCAGAACTTCAGAATGAAGAAGGACACCTTCCGTAAGCTCTGTGAGTGGTTTGTCCCTGCTCTGCAGTGAAGGGACATGCACATGAGGCCCATCATTCCCCTCCAGAAGTGTGTGTGGCCATCGCCCTCTGGAAGCTCTCCATGCCGGATAGCTACTGATCCGTGGGGAACTAGTTCGGCATGGGGAGATCCACCATCGGAGCAGTGCTCATGCAGGTATGGCAGTCTCCGGCCACTGTGCCAGGAGGGGGGGGGATGCAAGGAGAGTATGGGCTGCCCTAGGGAAAAGTGAGGGAGGTGGTGCAAGTCCCCTCCATGGGAGGGTTTAATCTGTCCCGCCTGCTCTAAAGACTGCCTGTGGTGACTAGAATTGCAGGGGGTGTTGCTCCTGGGGAGGGTGTGGAGCAGTGGCAGGGAAGGAGCACTGTCAGCCACCCAGGCAGCCCAGGGACTCTTGGTTTTGTGTGTCCCTCTGCAAGTGGTCAAGGCCATTAATAGAGTGCTGCTCTGCAGTGTCATCCACCTCACTGATGTGGACACGTGGGTGTACCGCAACTCCTCTTTGTGCCAGAGGCTGCACGCCAGGACTTTCTTCCCTGGCCATCACATCAGGGTCAGGGACGTGGGAATGCCTGGTGGGGGATGCGGCCTACCCGCTACAGCCCTGGCTCATGAAGCCCTACATGGGACACCTCAACCCTTCCCAGCAGGCCTTTAATACCAGGCTCAGCAGGGCCTGCACTGTGGTGGAAGGTGCCTTCGGCCAGCTGAAGGCCCGTTTTAGATGCTGCTTCACCCTCCTGGACCTCTCCAAGAGGAATATTCCACACATGGTAGCGGTATGCTGTATGTTGCACAATTTGTGCGAAAGGCAGGGGGAGGCTTTCCTGCCAGGCTGGATGGCAGAGGTTGACCACTTGGCTGGCCTGTACACGCAGCCCTGCATGGCTCCCAGCCAGGAGGCCCATCAGGGAGCTGTCGGTATCCGGGAGGCCCTGCGGGAGAGCTTCCAGATGGAGGATTGAAGTGTCCCTGGCGGCCTTGTGCTTTGTTCCACCGTTACGACCTTCCACTTTCCTCTCCATAACCCCCCGCCCTTCTTGATGTAAAATAAAAACATGTGTGTTGTCAAAAATAAACTGTTTATTGAACATAACTGGAGTGGGAGGGGGAATGAGGGTGGTAGAGGGGAGGCGAGAGAGGAGTAGTAAACCTGGGAAGAGGGAGCTGGAAGGAGGAGAAGCTCGGGGTTGGGGGTCTTGCTGGTCCATCTGTCTTCCAGCACTGCGGGTGCAGGGGCCTTGGCGTCCCTGGCGGGGAGGGAGAGTGGGAGAAGGAGTGATAGCTGGGGCGGCAGCAGGGGCTGGAGCAGCAGGAGGTACCAATTCTGCACCAGGGTCTGCAGGTGGTCGCAGATGGCACAGCCCTGGGCAAACAGCTCCGGCCAGTTCTGCCGCAGCTGCAGGTCTTCATGCACCCAATGCTCCAGGATGTGGACCGGCCTTTGCAGGATCCCCAGAGGCTGCCTCTGGTGGTACTCCTGGTTTTGGGTCACCCTGCTGGCCTGGGTGCAGGAGGATGTCCTGGGCGGGGTGGAGCGCCCTGCACTCGCAGCTGCTGCGGCTGTAGAGCAACAAGAGAAGGGGTCAGTTATCCATGGGGACACAGTTGGTGAAGCCCAGCCCCCCTCTGCAAGATGAGGGCGGCAGGTCTCCACACCATCAGAGCCAATGTGCTTGTTTGGCATGTCCTGCTATCCCCGGGAGTGTGAGCTGGCCCGAGACTGCACCCATGCCCCTGTGCTGTGTATGGGGTGGAGGTAGCAGGGGAGGGGATCTGTGCCCTGCCTCTGTGTAGAGGGGCCCCGTGGAGAGAGGGCATCATGCAGTGTCCCTCCCCGGGGTCAGGAGCATGTCCTGTGCTTTCAGGCGTGTGGGTAACAGGCCAGGGCCCCTGTGTGGCAGCCAGCCGGGGCCACATGCCCAGGGTGGCACGGCATATGCACAGGTTGCTACGTGCTCTGTGCTCAGCAAGGCCCATACATGCGGTCCCTGGTCTCCCTCTCCCTCCCCTTACCCCCCGCCACCCCGCATAAGGGGACAGTGATGGCACTCGCATGTCAAGGCCTTCTCGGCTTCTGACGACACAGGTGACATGGCTGCTGTGATGCCTTGGGGGTCCTGGGTGAGTGCCACCCTCCCTCCAGGCTCCTGCGACTCCTGGCCCTCCTCCTCCTCCTCTATGCCCATGTCGGGCCTCTCTGCCCCAGGGTCGATGACCACCTGGGGGGCATGGACCATCTGACCCGCCAGGATGTGGTCCAGGGCATCATAATAGGGGCAGGGGTTTGGGTCAGCCCCTGTTTGGGAGCTGCCCCCTGTGGCCCTGGGATCGGCCTGCTGCAGCTCCTTATCCTCATGCACGTCTTTTCCTGGGTGCGCATGTGGCCTTTGGTGGCCAGGCTGTCAGCAATCTGCCTGTAGACATACGTGTTCCTGCATCTAGTGCAGAGATCATGGATATTGGAGGCCTCCCCCCAAACCTCAATCAGGTCCGTGATCTCTGCATTTGACCAGGAAGGCGCCCGCCTTTTGTGGCCCCTGGCAGGCTCCTGAGAGCTGCCAGCCTGCTCCTGGGGAGCGATGGAGGTCTGGGTGCCAGTGGGTTGCTATCTCATGCTGGGCCAGGGCAGCAACTGCTGGCTCTGTGCTGGCAGGCTTGTAGCTGGCCCAGGCATTGTGGCCAGAGTCTACTCCTTTAATGGCTCCGGAGCAGCGAAGGGAGCAGAAGAGTTTTCCTGGTTTGGCCCAGGTTGGCCACCAGGCACCCTGGGAAGGGCTGGAGGCCCCTATTTCGAAATAAGCATCTACACAGCGCTCATTTTGATTTAGCTATTTCGAATTTGGCGTTATTCCTCATGGAATGAGATTTATCAAATTCAAAATAAGCGCTCCACTATTTCGAATTAATTTTGAAATAGCAGTATGGCTGTTTAGACACTGGTAAAGTTATTTCACAATAACGGCTGTTATTTCGAAATAACTTTGCTGTGTAGACATACCCTTAGGGAATAATTGGACTTTACTCCCCAGAAGCCACAACTATATCTTCATGCTATGAAATAACTTGTCAAGCTTTCTTTTCCAGTAGTATTGTAAACTGTATGGAATTAGCATTAAGCACATAAACTATGTCTCACGTGGACATATCCTAAATGCATGTAAAGTGAGGAAAGAGACAGTAGAACAATAGCATAGATAACTTTTGATTTTAGTAAATTTTCGAGGAGAGAACTCTCTTCTCATTTGTATTTGAAGACTTCCTAACAAAATTGGGCCTGGATCCTGATTAGAACCTGTGGGCATTATTTTTCGTGTTTTTTTTTTTTTAATTGGAACATAAAAATGGCCTTTCTCTACCAGACCATTAATCCATATGTAACTCAGTCTCCCATAGCCAATACCAGGTGCTTCTGTGGGAATTAATATAATAGGTAATTTTTTGTTCTCTTAAATCCGGTTATACTTTTGGCCTTCACAACGTTCCGTAGTAATGAGTTTGTGCATTGTGGGAAGTAGTGCTTCCTTTTGTTTCAAGCCTATTTCCTATTAATCTAATTGGCTACGTCTACACTGGCCCCTTTTCCGGAAGGGGCTTGTTAATTTCAGCGATCGCAATAGGGAAATCCGCGGGGGATTTAAATATCCCCCGCAGCATTTAAATAAAAATGTCTGCCGCTTTTTTCCGGCTTTTAGAAAAGTTTGAAGTAGGAATAAGATCTTTGAAGCTTTTTTCCGGCTTTTAGAAAACTATGAAGTAGGAATAAGATCCTCCGGAAAAGGGCGCTTTTTCCGGAGGATCGGGGCCAGTGTAGACGCTCTTTTCCGGCTTTTCTAAAAGCCGGAAAAAAGCGGCGGACATTTTTATTTAAATGCCGCGGGGGATATTTAAATCCCCCGCGGATTTCCCTATTGCGATCGCTGAAATTAACATGCCTTCCGGAAAAAGGGCCAGTGTAGACGAGCCCATTGAGAAGGAAACCTGTATTATGAGAAGTAAATAACATTTACTTTCTCCACTCTAGACATGATTTTATAGACCTCTGATATTCCCCTCCCTCTTAGTCACCTTTTTTCCCCCCAAAAGTCCCAGCCTTTAATTCCTCCTAATATGAAAACTGTTCCATGCCCTTAATCATTGTTGCCCTTCTCTACCTTTCCAATCTCTTTCCAATTCTAATACTTTTTCAGATGGGGCAACATGAACTGCTCAAGGTAATTAAGTTGTGGTTATACCATGAATTTTTGTACAGGCAGTCCCCGACTTGCGCGGATCTGACTTACGTCGGATCCGCAGTTACGAACGGGGCTGCCCTGGAGTACACGGACTGCGGGACCTCTCAGTCCTGCTGCCCATGTACTCCGGGGCTTTCTCCGCGTCTCTCTGGTCTGCAGACCAGGAAGACGCGGAGCAAAGCCAATTCATGCCAGTGTAGACACAGCCTATGTGAATAACGGTATCTGGCCTGGATTGCACAGGAGGTCAGCCTAGGTGATCATTATGGTCCTGTCTGTTCTTAAAATCTGTTAGTTGACTAGAAAATGGTAAGGTGGCAAGTCTCTCAGAGGCTGGATGGAACGGTGCTGACTTGACGTGATGCTCTCCATTCATGTCTGTAAAAGAATGAACTTGTGCGTTATATATGGGTTCATTGTCACTTATCAAGCCGTCTGAGAGACCATAATGGCTGAGTATTGCCCTTTGCCGCTGGATAGCACATTCAGCAGTGGGCCTCACGCAGCTCCCCGGCTGCTTCTAGTGACTAATGTGGGCTTGCCACATTACTAACCATCTCTCCTACCTGCCTGTTGGCTTGAAAGTCTTGCTACCATGTGCACTTTTGTGGGTGTATTCAGTATTTGCAATCCCCTCGCAACAATGGCAAAAGCAATGGTGGTTTCCACATCTCTATAGTTGCAAGCAGCGACTTGGAGACCAGGGACTGTGTAAAACACTCATTCTCAGGGTATTGTGTAACACAGCTGTTAGCAAACTCCTCCTAAGAATGCCACAAACTGTGAAACCGCTTTTCCCTTCCATTCTTGGTTCTCTTCTTTGAATGCAGATTCTCTTGCCAATTACCAGCAATCTCAGAGTACAGCGTGACTAAGTTCTTGCCCAGTATCTGTACAGGCAGTCCCCGGGTTACGTACAAGATAGGGACTGTAGGTTTGTTCTTAAGTTGAATCTGTATGTAAGTCGGAACTGGTGTCCAGACTGATCAGTTTCAGCAGCGGCTGAATCTGGACGCCAGTTCCGACTTACATACAGATTCAACTTAAGAACAAACCTACAGTCCCTATCTTGTACGTAACCCGGGGACTGCCTGTAGTGGCGTGATATTTATTATATCCCTTTCTTAATGGTTCCTAACGTTGTTAGCTTTGATTGCTCTTGCACATTCAGCAGATTGTTCTCAGAGAGCTATCCACTGTGATTCTAAGGTATTTTATGAGCAGTATCCACTAATTTGAATCCTATCATTTCTGTCTATACATAGAATTTTTGTTTCTAATGTGCATTACTTGGCATTTATCAACATATGATTTAATCAACGATTTTTCTTGCACTTTCATAAGATCCCTTTGTAATTCTTCATAGTCTTCTTTGGACTTAATCGTCTTGAGTAATTTTGTATCAGCTGCAGTCTTTGCCACCTCACTGTTCATTCTTTTATTCCAGATCACATATGACTATGTTGAATAACACGGCTTCCAGTACATGTTTTTGAGGACACCCCTATTTACACCTCTCCATTCTAAAAATGGAGGATATTTTTTCTAGCCTTTGTTTGATGTTATTTAATCAGTTACTGATCAACGAGAGAACCTTTTTTCCTATGGCCCGTCTGTTTTGGTTAAGGGTCTTTGGTGAGAGATGTTGTCAAAGATTTTCTGAAAATCCAACTACACATATCCATTGGCTTACCCTTGCACACATGGTTTCTGACTCCCTCGCGGTATTCTAATGGATTGCTGAAGCATGATTTCAGGTTACACACATGCTAGTGACTCTTCCTCAGTAAATCACGTACATCTATGCATCTGATTATAATAAAAAATAGAATTGTTTACCTGCTACTGGAGTTAGATGTATTGTCCTGTAATTGCAGGATTTCCCCTAGAATCTTTTTTTTTAATGGCTTCACATTAGTTATCCTCCAATTAGCTTGTAAAGAGTCTGATTTATGTGACCGGTCATATACTGCAGTGAGTAGTTTGGCAATTTCATATTTTGAGTTCTTCAAATCTCAGAACTGATGATGATATTGCTGTAATGTGCAGGATAATTACAGGTTAAAAGAGGAGAGGATTGTCACTAAAATATATGCTCTATATCCCTGATTTTATAACATTAATATTGCCCTTAGACGGTCCAGTCACCATAAATAACTCCTGCTGGCCATCCTGGGAATTAGCTCTACTGGACTTGCACTTCCCCCTCCAATAGTGTCTTTCCCCATTCTCTCTCTCCAGGTCGACACTTGACCTAAAGGAATTGATTCTTCTTCATGGCTTGGCCCTCCAGCCATACCACTAAGGTCCTCCTAGGAATTCAAAGTCCTTCCAGTCTTGCTTGCTGGTATCTCCAACATCCATCCCACTTTCCAGTGGCTGGTAGGGGAACAAAGGCCTTGCCCCTATACTGTATTTCCAGCCTAGGCACCCTATAGCAAGTAGGTCAGTTCTTTGTACTACCTTACCCCTTGTTACTCTTTCCTATCCATCTGGCTTCCCCCTAAGCTTGCAAGCCTCCCAACTCCCTGAACTCAGGGAGTGAGAGTAGAGTACTTCTTCCAGCCCCTCTTTCTATAGCCAGTTTCCTAGCCTTTACAGGCACCACATTCTACACTGCACAGGTTAGCCTGTTTCTTTAATTATGACTTTCCCTCTTCAGCCTTTGGTCTGCCACGTTAATTGGCCCCTCTGGCCTTCATTAACCCTTTTAATGGCTAGGTGGTGTGGACATTCCTTCACATGTCCCTTGAACTTCTCCATTAAAAAGCCTGAGTATGAACTCTAGAGGACCAACTTCGACTCCTTTGGGCTCAATATAGCCCACAAGCAGAATCTCAAAATTCCAGTCATGTCTTCCTGTTGGGAGTGAGGCACTAGGGACCTCTGCAGGAAGCACCTTCCCTACCCAATGATTTATATGAGCTACACAAAAAGGAGAATTCATGCTAGACACGCACTTTCCTCTGCAGCCTTTCATTCCTTCAGCACAGCTTCTACCGAAGTTGCCCTGGCTTCCTGGGGGCTCCAATGGGATTTCATACTAACATCTAGCATGTGGAAATAAAGTGGAGATATCAGTTGCTCTCACAAGTGAAGGCAAAAGTGAAGCTGGTACTTGCTTGTTCCTCTGCAAAAAGACAATTGTGTAGGAGCATGGTGCTTTCTATGCATGAAAGGAAAGGCTATTTGGGCTCGATGTTAGACTTATGTACTCCACTGAATTGTGGGATGGGAATTTAAATAGATTCAAGCCAGAAATCCATGTTAGAACAAAAGGAAATTGATGGGAGCTATTTTCTTACAAAATTTAGAGCTATGGAGCCAGTTTCAATAACATGTTGAGGTTCCATGCTGATCTGGAGGTGCAGTAGCTGCCAGCATTTGCATTGAACCTAACCCTTAATTATTTGTATATACCATAATATTTTCATACTTACAGAACTTTGATTTCTTGGAACATAAAGAGTTTGTTATTTTAACAATCAAAGCTAAAGCACGCTCTTCATGATATTTATTTGTGTATAACAGCCTTAGAATATTGACGTGAACATTTACCAGCCCAGCCACAATGCTTATTTATCTACCTTTTACCATGATAGTTGATAATAATGAAAGCAGGATCATCCATCATGATCTAGCCACAGAGGCATGCTGTGCATAACGGATCTCCCAGTTTGGATGCGTGGGTGGGGAGGAGGGAAGATTCAGCTCCCTCCACTGTATAAGTATAGTTTTCCATTTTTTTAAAAACTTAATAAGATGGCTTAGTTCACTTAAGTACTTGAACATTCAAACCTTATGTACAGATTCCTAAAAGAAAAACCCTCCTCCATTCACTAACAGATCATATTAGTGACCTCACATTTCACAAACTGTAGTTTAATATATTCATGCTACTCAGTGTAACATTAATCTTTAATTATAATGGCTTTTGGATATTTTTTTGATCAAGTTCTTTCTACAGAAATAAAAAATGGAAATAAAAACCAGCAGTAAATAGCTAAATAAATGGCTTTAAAAGTGCGGTGCAGGGCTCGCAGCGCCCCCAGCTGCTGGTCCCTGTACCCCTGTAGTGTTGCGGTGGACCTGCTGAGCCCTCGGGTGCGGGAGGATGTCCCAAGTGGGGTGGTGCGCCCTGCATGCGCAGATGGTGCGGCTGTGGAGAAAGAAAAGAAGTGGTCAGTTGTCCCTGGGGACACAGTGGGTGAAGCCCAGCTCCCCTCTGTGAGGTGGGGATGACCGTGCCCTGCACTGTCAGAGCCGCTGTGCTTACACAGAGGCCATGGTCGGAATGTCCAGCTATCCCCGGGACAGGGAGCTGCCCCGAGACCACACCCGTGCCCCTGTGCTGTGCATAGTGCGGTCAAGGTGGGGGGGAGATGTTAGAGGGGACATGTGAAGGGAGGGCGTCCTGCTGTGTCCCGCCCTGGGGTCAGAAGCATGTCTGGTCTCTTCACACATGCGTGTGGCTATCAGGCCATGGCTCCAGTGTGGTAGGCAGCTGGAGCCACCTGCCCAGGGTTGGCACGGCACGTGCTCGCATGCGCACAGGTTGCTGCGTGATGTGTGGTAAGCAAGGGCCATGTGCGTGGTCCCTGGTCTTCCTCCCCACCCTCTCCCTCTCCAAGAAGGGGACAGTGACGGCACTTACATGGTGTGGCCTCCCCAGACGATCCTGCTGACTCCTCTCCTGGGACTGCTCAAGGGTTCGGCTGGCGTGGCGGCTCCTCCTCGATGCCCTGGTCAGGGCCCTCCGGTCCCGGCTTGCTGCCCCCCGGGGTGGTATGGATTGCACCGCCCCCCAGGATGCGGTCCAGGGCATCAAAATAGGGGTAAGTATCTGCCCCTGCTGCGGAGCTGCCCCGAGTAGCCCTGGTGTATGCCTGCCGCAGCTCTTTTATCTTGAGGTGCAGCTGTTCCTGGGTACACCTCTGGCCTTTCTTGCCCATGGTGGCAGCTATGCGGCCGTAGATGGCTGCGTTCCTCCATCTAGTGTGGAGATCATGGACTTTGGGGGCCTGCCCCCAAACCTCAATGATCTCTGCACTAGTCCAGGAGGGTGCTCGCCATCTACGGCCCCTGGATGCTGGGGGACTGGGTGGGGGACCACTGGCTGGCACTGGCTGCCCAGCTCATCCTGGGGCCACTGGATCAGGTGCAGCGACTGCTGGCAGGCCTGGATCTGGCACGTGCAGTGTGGCCAGAGTCTACCCCTTTAAAGGCTCCAGGGCTGGGGGAGAGGAGAAGAGTTTTCCTGGTTTAGCCCAGAGTGGCCACCAGGGGAAACTGGGAGGGGCTGGAGGCCCCCTATTTGGAAATAAGGGTCTACACAGCACTTATTTCAAATTAGCTATTTCAAGTTTGGTGTTATTCTTCATAGAATGAGGTTTAACTAATTCGAATTAAGTGCCCTGCTATTTTGATTTTATTTTGAAATACAGGTAGTCCCTGACTTACGCGGATCCGACTTATGTCGGATCCGCAGTTACGAACGGGGCTCCCCCGGAGGACACGGACTGCGGGACCTCGCGGTCCTGCCGCCCGTGTGCTCCGGGGCTTTCTCCGCATCTCCCTGGTCTGCATACCAGGAAGACGTGGAGCAAAGCCGCGGGGGGGGCTCGGGTAGCGAGGCAGCCCAGGCGTGCCTGGGCTGCTCTGCTGCCAGCTTCCCCGAGGCTTTGCAAAGCCACGGAGGGGCTCGGGCAGTGAGGCAGCCCAGGCGCCCTGGACTGCTCCACTGCTGGCTTCCCTGA